AAGTATTCTACTTTTTCGGAGCTGGTTCTGCTGCTGTCTTCAGGTAAAACTGATTATTCTGTTGGGTCCAGTAGAAGGATTTTAATGCACCACTGTTAGAACCCTTCAGAGTTATATAAAACTTCTTATTAGTGTTACTTGTATAAGATACGCGATGGGTTCAGAATTTTGAAACGAGGCTAAACTGAGAAATTGACCAGCGTTTAGCCGAAGCATCAGATCAGAGGGAAGTTTAAATAAATTAACATTTTAGATTTATTTATATAGTCTACAATGATTATTCTCCATTTGTTATCATGGGTGCTTCGAAGTAATGTAAGAGAATTCCTCCAGCACTTTTCGAGTCTGAAAGTTATTGAATTCCACGTAAAGTAACAAAGAAAATCTCATATAATTATTTTGTCTGTATGGAACTTTAAATGACGTCAGTCAAATTACTGTAATCTTGCACAGGCAGGCCTATTTAATCTCTTCGTTCTTGAAATAGAATTTTACGGCAGACATGTCTTCTAAGAATGAAGGTATTGTAGATCCATAGAAACTGATTTCTAATTTTTGTTGAAAATTTTGTATTTTACTTTTGGCGTTTATGATTAAATTCGATAGTGGAATTTTATAACCGCTCGAGGCTTTCCGGCGTTCCCTGTACCATATAGTGGTATCTGCTGAAAAAATCTCTCTAAACTGTGTGAATGATTTAAATAATGTGAATAAATATTTACGCTTGCCGTAGTAATACACTGGCAACTCTACCGTGATTCGGTTAACGACCTAAGGGTAGAATTAAAAAATTTGCTTCAACTCCAGACATGTTTAAATTGCGCTTTTGTAGATGTTTCTATTCTCTGTAAAGTCAATGCTCTGCCTATCGGAAACATTGTTTTACTGTCATGAATGTTATAACTTTCTCTCTGCTACAAACAAGGATGTATTGATTCTAAAGTTTTACGTCTTGTGTTTTATTTGTGAAATACGCAGTCAGAAGGAAGGAGGGGGGGACAATGGTTACTAGAAATAACAGATGGAAATTCTCAGAATATTTTCATCACACAAAGATATCAGGCAACTCTAAGAATTTTAGAAGAGCGACATTGTATATTGTACTAGATGTGAAGACCATGAAATATTCTACTGCCTCTTAATTCGTGTGGAAGAAACCAGTAAAGCCAAGATTAATACCGGTACACATGGCTGGGTGTCTGCTTAGTGTACCTGGGAGATCATCTCATTCATTCAACCACGTTCCTTACTCCTAACTGTCAACACATAAACGGATCAACTCAGAAACAAACTTAAAGGAATTAAACGGAAAATAACTTCGTCTACATTTGTGTCAGACTTTCGTATCAGAATACTGTTTGTCGACAGCTGGCACGTTATCACGGTAGATTATTTGTTATGGTGAGTCTTATGGGCTGGACGACCGGCGTTCGATTCCCACTAGAGGTATGATTTTGTCTCCTAGCTATCGTTACGTGATGGGTTAGATTTTTTTCGTCATCACCGTCATGACGTCTAAAAATGAGATACACAAGCAGACATGTTCACAAAATTGAAAAGTGATACGCCGTTCCTTACACTTGACTAACTTTTTGCGAGTTCAAGTTAAATTAGAGTAACTAACTAACTAACTAACTAACTAGATGACTTACAGAACACGAAGTTTCATCACCGAACTCACCAATGCCCTCCACCACATTCTCAAACACTTGTAATATATGTTCCTCCCTCTGAGTGAGAGACCATGTTTCGCACCCATACAAAACAACAGGCAAAATTATTGTTTTGTATACTTTAATTTTCAGGTTCCTAGAAATCAGACGGAAAGACAAAATATTTTGAACTGAGAAGTAGCAAGCATTTATTTATTAGCCACCCTAAGATAAT